GCCCCAACATCACAGCCATCTTTCTTGAGTGCAGCCCTAGGCTCCACACGTACACCAGAAAGAGCCCAGTGCCACCCTGCCCTCAGCTTGCAGCGGCAGCCCGCCCTGCCCCTATCCGGGGGCATATGCCCACTCTCCCCAGTGCCCTCCTGGGGTGTGTGCAGTGGCAGGTGCTGTCCCACTCCCTCCCTCACTGTGGGGGAGCACTGATCTGCCCCCCCATGCCCCTTCCATCCCCCCTCCCCTTCTACCACAACAGACTTACCAGGTGCACATAGCTTTTCAAGCTGCCAGGCTGTGCTCTTCGCTGCCTACATGCTGTGCTGCTGTTGCATGCATGCAAATTATTGGCAACATCAGGCCGATTTCCGATATAGTCAATTTTCTTTATATTGGTGCCAATGCGATATCAGATCTATGTATTGGTGCACCTCTAGTTATTGCCATGAGCAGCAATCCAAGCCTTTTTTGTGATGTACAGAGAAATGTTGGTGGTAGAAATAAAGATCAAGTCAGAAGAATCAAATTATTCTGGTTCTTCATCGTAATTATTTGAAGACACAGGGTGACTCACATTATTTTGATTAAATTAGCAATTCTAGACACTTCAATTCTTTTTTAAATATTCTGTATTGGCTAGAACAGGGGGTTGCAACATATGACCGGCAGAGCTACTTCAAGGCTTTGCCTGTCCCTGTACACCAGGGATGGGCAATTATTTGGGTTGGAGGGCCACTTAAAGAATTTTGGTGAGCTGTTGCAGGCTGTGTGCTCATGCAAACACACACACATACACATACACATGCTCCCTGCAGCTGGGCCAAAGATGGTGCAAGAGCCACAGCAGAAGTGAAAGCATAATCCTACCTGGGCTGTAGCGTTTTATCTCTGCTCTTTCCCGTCTCCCTCCCTGCGCTTTCCAGCTTGGCTGACACTGGCTGGCAGGAACACGGCTAAGAGTTGTGCTGTGCCAGAGGCAGGGCCATGGCATTCTCAGCCCCCATGGAGCCAGGTTGGAGGGGGCTAAGGTTGGGGTTTAGTTCCTTCTTTCATCCGCCCCCCTTGCTGCACAGTGCTGGGCAGGTGGACAGGGCTCTGGGGCTCTGCTGGCACTGTAGGGGATGCTGGGTGGAAGCAGCCCTGCCCACCTGGCACCGCTGGGTCAGACTCCATTTCTCAGGCTGCTGGGCAGTGCCAGGAGGGTGGGCTGGCCTGCTTCCATCCAGGGTCCCCTGCAGCACCAGGAGAAGCTGGAGCCGCCACCCTCAGGCCTGTCAACTGAGTCTATTTGGCCTACAGACTGATGATGGCTCTAGCCTCTGCTGGTGCTGTGGGCTGAACATAATCAACTGTGGGGCTGGATATGGCCCGCAGACCAAATTTTGCCCATCTCTGCTGTACATACACCAGGGCTGAGCAGCACGAAACTGCCCTGGGGCCAGGGAGCTGAAAGCTGTGCATCTCCCTAAGCCCCCTTCCTCTTCCCCAAGGCTGTGGTATGAGCACAGCTTCAGCCAGAAAGGAGTTATGCTGGGGCAGCAGGAGCAGTATGAAAGCAACTTCCAGCTCCTTAGCCCTGGCACAACTTCCTTCTGGCTGGAATCTGTGCTTCTGCTGCATCTGGGGAACAGGGGGCTGGGTGAAGCTGAAGGGTAGCTGTGCCAGGGCTGGGGAGCTGGATGCTGTTTCTATGCTGCTACCATTCCTCCCCAGCCCCTGCCCTCTGCCCTCCACCAAATCATTTCAAATACAGAAATTATCATGATTGATTTTTAACCCAAGAAAAGGCCACAAAACCTTTGGCAAATATGTTCCTATCCATATACATAATGTGTAAGTGAGCATACTTAAGAAACCAGGGTTTTCTTGTACATACACACTTGAAATAGCAATGCCTTTTAGTGAGATTGTTTCTTCATTAAATTTTTTTCTTAAAGGAAACTAATTCCACCTACCTAAGAAAGCTCCAAAAGACACTCTGCCTATACCTGTTTAAAAAAGAGCAAATAAGAGAGAAAAGGATAGATTTATAGAAATAAAACAGGAAACTAGAAAAGAGCAACTATACTAAAAGAAATATGAGAGAGATCATAAATATATGATTAGTGGTGTTAATAGGAGGACTGCTTCCTGCAACTGTCATTCAAAATAGTCATTACCAGTGAGATGCTGCATGATGGAGCCAAATATTTTGGGTCTTTCTAATTATACTAGGTTATGTCTTATTACTTGGAGAAGTTCAATACGTCTGTTCAAAAGACATAATAAAAGAATAATGTTGCTTTAGTTAAAAGTTCTTGTTCGTATAAACAAATGGAGGAGAACATCGTTTATGTGCATATATTAGTCAAATCCAGCACTATCAGACTGGATTGTCTTCCCCAGGTATATAAATTAGTTTAACCGTGGGCTGAATGGGCTTCACTATCTTAATTCATACTTGTTTCAGGAATGTCAAGTTAGCTACCAACAAATACCCTGAAAGTTTCCAAACTTTGACAGATAAAGATAGTTTGACAGGTAAAGTGAAAGTAATGTATTGAATTGGTGTGGTAAAACAAGAAATGTGCGTGTATATTCAGATTAATCAGTGAACAACATACAGTGCAATATATCCCACATGTCTTTACTAAAACCTGTGAACTGGTATTACTGAACCATTTTTAATTTTCAGCTGAATATAAGTTCCCTACAAAATATATGGAATACTAATGTAAAGTTATCTAGATGCAAAAGTCACATAACTGTTTACTTATCAACTAAGTTGCTTCCATTTGATCAGCAAATATTTCAATATTAAGTGACCACACCTTTAGGAGTCCTACTGAGAAACACGAAGGTCCTTACACTTTTGGTTGGTGTACAGTTGCAATACCTATTTTGTGTAAGACACTGGCCATCACCAGCCAAAAAGCGTATTTATGTTTCTTAAATATTTATGTTTATTAATTGTTTTGATCTGGAAGAAAATCATTTTAGCATGCCATACACAATGGATGAACTGGATGCTGGACTAAGAACAGCAAAGCAGCTGGACTTGAAGACATATGCACAAAGCAGATAAAACCCTTGATCCCACAATCAAATTATGGGTATAATGCCGTTTTTAACCATTGTTCATCAACCCTTAGAATACCTACATTAAGGTGACAGGCCCATTTAATAGCTCTATTAAAGCCAGGGAAGGATGCATCTGGCCCAGAGAACTTTAGGCCAGTGTCACTTCTGTGCCATCTTTACAAACTTCACAAATTCCTTATTCTCAATCACCTTTCACCTCCTATCAAACAACATCTAATAACAGAACAAGCTGGATTCAGACCAGGAAAGTCCTGCAAGAGCCAAATACTAAATATCATACAGCATACAGAAGATGGGCCTGAGAAAGGGATAACAGGTGCTGTGTTTGTAGACTTATTAGCGGCATATGACACAGTCAACGACTGAAACCTGCTTGCCAAAGTCTACAATATGATGTACGACTACCATCTAGTGCAGCTCATGCAATCTCTTTTGGAAAATATACATTTTTACATGGAACTGTGTAAGAAACGGAGCCTCTGGAAATGGCCTCCCACAGGGTAGTGTACTAGCATCAATCCTTTTTAACATATATACCAATGACCAAACCATGTAGAGTAATACAAGGAGGTTCATATATGCTGATGATCTATGCATCACATCACAAGAGAAAAACTTTATCACTATCGAGACCAGACTGACATGTGCACTGAGCACTCTCTCAGATTACTACAGTAAGAACCAGCTTTGTACCAACCCAACCAAGATGCAGGTCACAGCTTTTCACGTATGCCACAGAGAAGCCAAGCAGAAATTACACATTATCTGGGATGGAATCTCACTGACTAATCACCTAAACCCCATGTATGTGGGGGTTACAGTGGACTGAACACTTATGTTCAAAGCACACGTAGAGAAGATGAAAGGGAAAGTTAGCACCCACAACAACATACTTTAAAAACTGTTCACCTCAAAGCAGGGAGTGAACCTAGCTTTATTATGAACCACTGCTGTTGCCTTGTGTTACTACACTGCAGAGTATGCATGTCCAGTATGAGAATGATCAGTCAATGCCGAGAAAACAGACCCAGTTCTAAACAACAGCTGTCGTGACATACCAGGATGTCTAAAGTCAACATCAAAGGATAGCATGTGCTTACTGGCTGGTATTGCACAACCTGATACCTAATGGCTTAAAGTATGAAAGAGTTTTGTTGCGCTATTGAATATGATGGCTGACAGGGCATGACTGAGGTTATGGAAGGAAAGATTATGTGCAATCAGGTGTTCTGAAATGGACCCGGAACCCCAGGAGGACCTTCCAAGAGAGGTAGATCTACACTGGCCACCATGGTGATGCCTAAATTGCCTGTGTGCAAAGTGGAAGATCAAAACCAAACATGATCAAATGGAACTACTCTAATGATATGAATATATGCGAGTACGGTGAAGTGCATTCTATCAAATATCGCTGTCTACCATCAGCTCAGAAACAAAACAAAGAGAAAGCCCAATCAGGGAAGAGCCAGAAGAATTCAGAACTGAAGACCAATATTGCAAAATTGATATGCTCATGGCAACATCATTAACATGCAACTCTCTTGAGCTATGGTGAGAAACTGGAATACCCACCACAGCGGACAGTCACACAAGCTATTACATAACATATGTGTATAGTGGCTAAAAGAGAACATTTGGAATTTGAGAGAGAGAAAGAAGAGGAGACATTTCTAATAAAGGTACTCCTCACTTAACATCATTCCAGTTAATGTTGTTTTGTTAATACGTTGCTGACCTATTAGAGAACATACTCTTTTAAAGTTGTGCAATGTTCAGTTATAACATTGTTTGGCCACTGCCTGCTGGTAGATAACTACTGTGACATAACGGGATTCACTTAACATCATTTTGCTTAAAGTCACATTTTTCAAGACTGTAACTACGAGGTTAAGCGAGGAGTAGCTGTACTTACAATCTGCCAGTTAATGCTTAAGCATAAGAATGCTTAAAAAAGACTTCATTTCTGAAAAAAATGGCAGTTTTTACTCAATAGATATTACTTGCATTAATTCATTCCTAGCTATAGACTATCTGATGTCAGACAAATACTGACAAACGTTTTTAGTGATTTTTACTCCTTTTTGTACTGAAGGGCCTGCAGAGTAGAGATGGGGGAGCTGGATTCTATTCCTCTTGTATTATCCTCACCAAAATTATTTTCTTAATGTCCATTGTACTGGTGGCTGAACAGCAGAAATACCACTGAGGGATAATTTAAGTTAAACACAGTTGAAGGAAAGAGTCCATCTAGAGTCTCAGATCCCAGGCAAAGCTTGTGAAATTCCATTTAAAAAATGTATACTCCTTGACTCCCTTTGCCATGCAAATTGAGTATTTTTCTCACACAGTCAAATTTCAAAGAAATGTACTTCAAATATTACCATGTGCATTTTAATAACAAAGTATGCCTTGTACAGCAGGGTGATGTACAAAGCATTTTCCTAGATGTATTAGTAGGGCCTTGAGACAAAACTAAGGCACGCTATAATTTAAGAGAAACAAAACTAAGCCTGAGCTACCTCTGAAACTATCTGCTGCAAAGGATTTTACAACAAAACTACCTGTCTTACATGCTAATCCATCTAGTTTAGCTCTGTACTTTAATGCTTTATTTAGCTTTAATGCTCTTGGATGGATCTAAGGAGACCTCACTCGGTCTGGTTTCTTCCAGGAATAAAGATAATAAAACCTTCAGCTCCATGCAAGGTCCAAAATTTGGCAACCTCAAAAACCTATCTATAACTTTAAAAATACACATGCAAAATGCTGCCTTACTGCACTAGTCTTATTTTAAGAGGCTAGCTGATTTAGATTGCAAATAAAATAATTAATATTGTCTTAGTCTGGAGTGAGAATATGACTGCAAATACTTTAGGGTAGGGACTTCTGTATGTGGAAAATGCTTAGAGTAAGTGGCACTGTACTCCAAACACCACTGCCATCAGTCATTATAACATACTGTGATTAAGAAACATCCACTGCAGGTCATATCTAAGCTGAACAGGCAGATATCTTTCCTTTATCAGACATTAGCTAATGATAATATTCCTGAGGAAATTTTGCTAGCTATAAAGGAACATTTTTTTAAAACAATACTTGAAAAATATTTTTAAAAGTGTCTTTTGGAATGGTATCTGCCACCTTATCAAATACACTTGAATATTAATTACTGAACATGAACATGCATTTCATCTACCTATAGAAAAATCTCATATGGAACCATGAAATCAACTTCCATCTCTCAAAATTTTCAAGAGCAGGTTAGATAGACATTTGGGATGATTTAGTAAAGGATGATTCTGCCTTGAGCAGGAGGATGGACTAGATGATCTCCTGGTCCCTTCCAGTCCTATTTTCCTATGATCTTAAGTTGCTAATACTTTATTTATCATTGCAGAACTGTTTTTATCTTACAGAAATAAAAATATTCAAATATCCAAAAGCTGTTTTAAATCTGCCTTATAAGAGCTTTGAAAGCTGGTGCTTTTAAGGATGTTTTTTATTAAACTGCATACAATTTCAGTACTGTCCATCTAACAACTTAAAGGCAAGGAAGAATGCTTTGCATTTGAAAACTTGTCTAACTTTATCCCAACTATATAGTTGGACCAATAAAAGTTATCACCCTAAGAAATCCTTGCCTGTCATATAATTCCTGGACCATCATGGCTAGAACATCACTCTAACTTTAATGATTCAAAGCTGATTCAAGATGACAGCAGCTTGTATCATCTTTGAAATGAAGCACAATGAGAAAAAGCATGTGCACACTGAGTAAAAGGTTGTATAGATAAACTATGTAAAAAATCTGCTACAAATCCTGAAGAGAAATGAAGGAAGTATTTTAGAATTTATCATGAAATGTCTTAAGCACTGAAGCGGTTTCACAAAAATACATAAATATTTGCAACATAACATGTGAAAAAATATTACAAACAACTATTTTAGAAAACTTACCTGCTGAGCCAAAGATTTTCTATTGCTACTCACCAAAATATTCATTTAGAAATGCAAGGGAGGCCACATAGCAGCCAAGACTGAGGAATTCAGCCACCACCATTAACCAGTGCCATGTTCGTATGGTCAGTGCAACCATCAAGAGCTCAGTCAAGATTAGGGCAGTAAAGGAAATGGCAACAACATGTACAAATTCAGATTCAAAAAGCAGCAGGGCTCCATACATCAGAATACCACCTGAAAAAGGCACACAAAGTTATAGATTCATTGTGAACTATATTTTGGTTTGGTGTTCTTTTCAATTGCGAGGTAAATACTGGATCAGTTAATTTGAAAGTTTTCTCCATTCATTTCTTATGAGAGACTATCACTAATATTTTTTCCACTCTGTGTGTACAATAGTAAAACCAGAACAAGACTGCAAGATAATAAAATAATACTATCAGAAAATTAAACACATTTTAGTGTAATATATCTGAGCAACCATTAATTACATTTTCAACAATATCTCATTTATCTGTAGCATTAGACAAAATGAACTTAATTACTTTTAACTGATTACATAATTCAGATTTTTAAAATAGTACTTCTGTCATTCCATGAAAGAAAACTACTGTGTACCATATGCAACGTGATAAGCACTCGTTAAAATTTTTCTGGATTAGCATTTAATTAAAAACAGGTCAGTTTTTAGGCGACATGCATCAATAAAAATACCAATCCATGCTGCATTCTGAATAGGCCTGGCACAATGCTAGAATATCGATTTACGAGATAAAAAGAAAGCAATATATATAACTGTTGATGAAATTTTAAGCTTTGGGAATTTAACCTGGAGCTGAAAAACAATATTGTTAATAGTAGACAAAAAATCTTTAGTTCAGTAAAATTAGGGATCTCTCCTACCTTGGTAAATACTGATTAAAACCCAGATGAAGAAGGTCTTAAAAGACAAGGATCTTCCCTAAAGGAAACAGTTAAGTCAGGTTAGTTAAGTACAGTAGAAAAATCTACTTGATCCATGATTTTTTAAAGTAGCTCAGCACTGTAGAGACATTCCAGTAACACTTTGCAAGGCATAACCTCTTAATTTTACAACTGTAATGAGCATTTTCATGTGATCTGGGCTGTAAAGTTTCCACTGGCTTCAGTATCTAGGGGAACGTTTGTTCACCAGAGCGCCCCAAGGGATGAAGACTAGGTTGAATGGTCATAAACTACTACAAGACCGTTTCAGGCTGGACGTAAGGAAGAATTTCTTTACTGTCCGAGCCCCCAAGGTCTGGAACAGCCTGCCACCGGAGGTGGTTCAAGCACCTACATTGAACACCTTCAAGAGCAAACTGGATGCTTATCTTGCTGGGATCCTATAACCCCAGCTGACTTCCTGCCCTTTGGGCAGGGGGCTGGACTCGATGGTCTTCCGAGGTCCCTTCCAGCCCTAATGTCTATGAAATCTATGATTAGCTTTGGATTTGTGTGGAGAGGCCAATATTGGGGGTACAATAATGGAACAAATAGAAGACCTACATTTTAGATTGCACTGCTATTGCTTCCTCTCTTCAGAAGGGCTAGTTACAATAAAATGTTACTCGTTTGCTTATTTTTTTTGGTATTTATACCCGTTGTCTTTGCTATATACATGAGAGCAAAACAGTAGTTTGGAACTGTCAACTTGAATCTCAAAACATAAAACAAAACTGTAGTTAGTATGCTCTAGTATATTCTAACTATCCATTTTGAATGTCAGACAGCTATTTGCTAAGAAACAGTGCCCACAGTGCCAAATGAAACACATAATATGGCTTATTACACTAAAGGCTCGTAGATGATTTCCTAACCCAATAAGGAAATATTGTCTTCTTGTGACAGTAAACAAGCCATGGGCCCAATCAAAATGAACTGTTCAAATTATATAAATAAAATGCGACTAATTGTGTGTGCTAGGACTTGCATCGTGTGAGGGGATTTGGACTCTATATAGAGAAGAAAGTGCAAACACAGAAAATAAAAGGAGGCATAAAACAACTATTTGTGCCCATGAAAAAGGCAAATCATACCAGCAAAAATATGGATCACCACTCAAAAGGGAGAAGTATTTCAAAACAGCATGGCCATAGCCAGCCACAAATTAACCCACTATTGCTCTGGGTTGAGACTAAAAAGCACTTTCCTGGACTGGTACAGCTAAGGGTGGGAAATTGTTATTCTTCCACGTTGCCTGTAATAGTGGTACCAAAGCAGGCAAATATGGAAAACTTCTAGTCCAGGTAAGAGCACACTGAATGCAGTTATCTAAATGATTATACAGCCATCACAAAACATATCCACAGCAAACAAAGGGAAACAGAGACATTCTAAGAAGAATCTGGTATGGATCTCACATAAAGGCCTGGATGTTATGTGAGCATGGCCCTTCTGGCCCACAGATTAACAGTGCACAGAGATAGTTGTAAAAAGTTTACGGAAACAGTATCTTGGGACTTAATTCACCCGCATGGGTTTAGAAAGAGGTGTGGAATTCGTGCACCTCTATGCCTTTGAAGGTACCTGGCACACGGAGGGGGATTCATACCTTGGCCTGTGGTGGGAGCAATGGCACCTATCCTCTGAGTTTCATCAGGGATATATGGGTGGGATTCCACAAGTGCCATGGTGGAAGAGGTGCTGAACCCAGGTAGAGGGATGCAGCCATCCTCAGCTGCTCTCACCTTCTCTCTCAACTTTGCCAGCTTGTTCCGATTCTCTGGACAGAGCAGCCTGGGTTATTGCACCTCTTCCCCCTCCACAGGACCTTTCCAGCGCTAGCACGTCCCAGAAAATGAACCAAACCATGAGAATCTGACTCCTATCCCATGTCAACATGCAAGCAACAGTAGGAGAGGTATTCAGCTGCATAGCATTGGCAAAGATTTATGTTAGTGTCTATAATATAAAAAGGGATATGCAGAAAGATGTTTGTTTCATATTGCCATGATCCTAAAGCAATACGATCATGAGCGTCTACAACAAACACTCACAAGAGAATTACATTGTAATGCTAGAGCCAAATACAGATCTTGTAAAACATGAGTCATTTGTGCATTACTGATCACACAATATTTTAACCAGAAATATTACTCAGTAGTTCTCAAGTTTCCCCACATGCTCATTTTTATTTCCTAAAGGAGTATTATGGGCACTATCAATTTGAAATATACTTCTGTGGGTGCCAAGCCATGGAACCCAAGAATTTAGAGCCTTCAAGCTTTCTGGCTTCTGCTTTAAGAAAAGCATAATTTGTCTTTCTGCCTATGGGTGCATATAAGCATTCAAATGAACCAGTGGAAATTAAACGGTTTAGACTAAGCAGTGGAAAATACTACCAGTTGAAGGTCAGGCAAGCTACAGACACTGTGCTACAGATGACATCCAGCCAGAGGGCCCAGAGCGCACATCCCAGCATGCCTGGAGACAGGTGGCCGCATGACGGGAGCAAGTCAGGGCTGATTGACTGTGGCCCATAGGGACCATGCCTCACTCTTAACAACATCCTCTCCCTCCCAACCTCTCAGCTGTCAGGCTATCAGAGAGCAGACCTCAAGGGGTCTCTTATCTTTTGAAGCTGGGGCTTTTGCCATGGAGTGGGGGACTTTCATGACAGTGACCCTGGAGTTCTGGCTGCAGGAAGCCCTACTACCGCCACCAGAGCTCAGGACTCTTAAGTCCTGCCAGGGAGAGCATCTCCCTGATTTCAAAGCATGTGCCAGCAGCCTTGCATAAGGAGTTGGAGGTGCAGGACTCTGAAGTGCCACGAGGGAGTGATGCTCTCCTTGCACAGCACTTCTAGCCAGCACTCACAGCTCCATGCATGGGCCTGCAGGTGCAGGCTCTCAAGTGCTGTGAGTGAGGAGAGGCTCTTCCCCCACACAGCACTTGAGAGCTCTGCCCCTGCAGCCCCCATGTTGCCAGGGTGCTAGTAGGTATAGGGGAGCTGGAGGTGGCTCTCCTACCAGCTTGGGGAGGGGTGGAGGTAACAGCTGCACAGCCCTGGGGCTGTGGAGAAGGTCTGGGCTTTTTGGGCCCCAGGGATGACAGGGGAAGGGGTTTGGTCTGTGACTCAGCCAGACCAAACCCCGGTTGAGTCACAGACTGCCCCTCTCTGAAAGGGAGAGGGGAGGAGAAGCAATGCCCGGAGGACAACAGAAAAGCTTCTACCAACATGGGAAGTGTACAAGCTTTTGTTAACCTGACTAATCCGTATTGCACTAAGATTAAACTTTGTCAGTCTGGGTTTAACTTTCCACCCCGTGCAGCATTTTTAGACCAGATTAAGTGCTGTGAATGCATGTATGCTAAACATTTCTACCACACTAAAAACAATTCTACTGATAGAATTGTAATGCTTTTCTACATCCTAAGTTACCTTCTACAAATATTGTCTTTGGAAATCAGCTCCTTTCATATAACACCAGCAGATTTGAATGACAAAGGTCATAACTATCTTTGGTAATAGCAAGTGGGTTTGAGCTCTCCTAGGATGACTAGCATGGGCTGAAGGCTCTGAAAGCTTTGAAATATTAATTAAAGTAAAATAAATGAGAAAACAATTGAGCCCCTATACATGTGCACAGAGCCTGCTCCGACATGCTAGAAATCCAGTGAGTCAGAGCAGACTTGATTAACTGAGTCTGCTGAGCACGGAAATTAGTGTGGCTCGCTAATTAAAGTGCCCAGTGCCATGTCTGGGAACACGTGTAAAAATGCCAATAGTTCCCTTTTCCCAAAAAGTAACACACCCTAGTTTAAATTTAAAGTAAAAGATTCTGAAGAGTTTGGTCCATCAGGCTCTGAGAATGTCTCTATAAACCCCTACAACTTGAGAAGTCTTTGGAGATGCTGGCATACACATTAACTTTTGAGGCTTTATTCATAACTATGTTAGGAAAGAGGTACATTTGCACAGCTTGAGCTTCTGAGGGGGAACAAAAGAAGTTGTGGCATTTCAGGTTTCTTTGGGATAACTTTATTTAGGATGAAAGTTTACCAAGCATGAAGCCAGAGTCCCAGAACTGTAGGGTAAACATAGACTTTGTATAGTCATTAGGGGTTAACTTTGAAAACTTCCTGCAACCTCTAAAGTTAGGCCAAAGACACTACAGTTTAAAGTGGTGCTTGTACTCTAAAGAGAACCATTGCATTAAATCAGGAGGCAACATCCTACAAATGTGTCAGTTACTGTACAAAATGTAAGTTGAAAGGAAGGCAGGAAGCAGAGATCTAGAATCTGGAACTGGTAGACTGAGAAACAATTGGAGCTAGCAGAGCAGCTCAATTGACTACTATGATGCAGTTATCCAACTTAATGAAAAATAAGGAATTTGGTCTGGAACTGCTGTTTTTCCCAGTTTTTATTCTCTCTTTCATTACTACGTTTTGGCTGCTGAATTCCAACCAGGTTTCTACTGGCCAGGAAGCCTGCATTTTCTTTTCCAGAGGACACAACTCCTGACAGGCAAAGATTTGTTTTTCCGATGCATCCAATCTCTTTTGGCCAAGGAAGCAGAAGCCCTGAAACCACTTCTCATCTGGGGTGACCTGAGTAGCAGATCAGTGAGCAGCAGCATTTAGAAAACTAGGAAATATTTTATTTTGCAGCAGCTGTGTTCAAGTTTTTAAACATAATGTTAAAGTTCTGGATAACAAAGAAGGGTAGATTTATCACCAGATAAAACTACTGAGAATACAACTGTAGGTCAGGATAATAGATGATAGGAGATATTTGGAATAAATATTTCTTACTGGAACAGTTGAGATACAAAATTGCACACTAAATAAGGCAAAGGATGAAAACCTTATCCACAAGCAGAAGCTGGGTTATGAATAAGGAATTTGTTAGTGGAGCTGAAACAAAAATAAATTATTATTACCACAGATATTTAGAAATTGCTGGCTATCATATAACCTGGGCTGTTTGTTAAATGGCTTAACAGTACTAGAACTGGAACCAGGCAAGAGAACAAACATTTCCAGGAGTAGCTAACAGATTGCAAATTAAAAAAAAGCTCTCAAATACTTTCCCCATCTCAAAGGAGCCACCTGAGCTATTGGTGTTGAATGTTAATATTATTATAAAATTCAGTGTACTTACTGTACATTGCACAAAAACATCCTGATGAAATAGAAGCTACAGGGGATGCTGTATACTATGTATTCAAGTTTAAAAAATACTTTAAATTTGTACTTCCCTAGAGAAATGACTATTTTAACTGGTATACAGAATGTGCTACACACTTTCAAGTGCAAAAGACAATGCAGTCCCTATTCCAAAGAAATAATCAACTTCTGCTTAAAACCATCAGCTTTATTTAAAACCCAACCTCTCCATAAAATTTTATTATAAAATTAAAAAATAATTTAAAACCTGAAAGCCTCCCAGAATGTATATTATTTCACTGGACTTAAAAAAATAATTAAAAAATAAGAACACCTGGAAATCAGATGGCCTAGCGCTGTGTAAATTTCGATGAGATAAATGGAACCAGACATTCAAAAGTGTTAATTTAACCATATCACTATACAACATTGAGGAGTTAAACAAGGATTGGGGTTTCCAGGGTAGAGACCTCAGCCTACTAACTGGGCAACAACTACCATTTAAAATCCTCATGACCTTTTTTTCAAGATGCAAAAAAAGTAGGACAAACACAGACTATTTGAAATATAAAGCAATAAATTAGTCTTTCATTTTTAAAGTACTTTTATTGCTGTTAACTGTTAAGTTTTTATAAGAAATAGCACTGTTTGACAGTTTTTTAAATAGTGCACAAGATGGAAAGGACTATCCTGTTTGGGAGTAAGAGAAAGTGTGATCTCAAATGATTTTAAGGTAGTACTGATGCACAATTTTATTTGGATTAATTCAGTCTGCCTGACTTCTGCTGATTTTGCTAAAACATTTTATTTAAAAGAGCAAGTTAGACATTTGTTACCTTGCACTACACGCAGCACAGGCTTTTGTACAACACTATCTATAGGTTCTCTTATCTGGAATATCTCCACAGAGTAAATATAAAAACCTGTCATGATTTCAACAGATACTAGAGCCAAAATAAGTATTCATATTCAAACACGTGGCTTATACCTTTGTGAGATCCTTATAAAGTTCTGGATATAGCAATGCCATTTCTGGTTTCACATCCTGATCCAGCACTAAAGAGAAGACCGGGAACATAGTGTATATAGTTGCATACCTGAGGAAAAAAGCACAATAAAATTGTTAAAATGATTCATTTCTACCCATTGAAACTAATTTATTAATCTCAAATAATTTTATGGCTCTTTTGAGTGAATATGGTTACCCTGACAAACTCTAAGCAATCCACTTACATGTCTTGGCTAATGCTAACTTACCCATTTTAAAACCTTAGTTCCATACAGCTTCTGAAAGCTGCCAGTTGTATAAAACTGTATAAAATTATGGATGCAAATATATCAAACAAAAATTTAGATTAATCAGTCACCATACTAATCAGCCTCATACTCAGTGATGTACATTTAACAAAGTATTTTGATGACAAAGGATGTGACAATTAACTTACTATAGCATTTAAGTTTATAATTCTTAGCATCATTATTAAAAATAATATAGAAACAAGTGCTGTCCTGTCCCTCAAAGGTGGTTAAGAAGTCTTAACAGCACAAGTGGGGTAGATTGTTACTACCAGTATGTACATCCTGATATAGAATTACTGGATTTGAAACCAAATATACAGGCAGTCCTCAGACTTATGACATAAATGGTTCCTGAAAACCATGGCTTAAGTCCAAACGTTGCAACTCGGAACTGATTTTCCCATAGGAAACAATGTTATAAATGGGAGATTAGTTCCTGAACCAAAGCAATCATATTTATTTGGAAGGACTTCTTTGAGGAGACGTTGCTGGATGTTTTGAAGGGCTCTTGGTTGGACTTTTTGAAGGGTTCTTGGCTGGAGTCTTCTCAGGAGTCTTGGCTGCAGGTTTTTCTGGAGCCTTGTCTACTTTCTTTAAAGTGTCCAAGGAAGTTTGGACAGATGTTCTCCAGGGAGATGCGTGATGCAGCGAACTTGTTCGCTGGCATGGCTTGGCATCAGATCAAGTGTTGTAAAGTTGAAACTGACGTCAGAAAGTTGAAACAGGGTATCAATTTATAAACGTTGTAAGTGTGAAATGTTGTAACTCGAAACATTGTAAGTTGACTGCCTGTAATTTATTTTTGTTGCGAGAGTCTCATGATTTTGAGAGCGCTTAGAGTATTTTTAATATATGCCTATGCAGTACCTAATGTATGCCAGGGATAACAGGTTCCAAACTTGACTGAAGGCTCTAGATACTCTTGTAATAAAAATAAGGGCTATAAAAGAAGCTGTTAGTAAAGAGAGGGGGCAGGGCATGGAGGGAGACGCACCCAGACCCAGACCCTCATGCTTGTTGTTAGTAAGTGATCCCAGAGCAAGACTGACAAAGCAGAACCCTGAAGCTGTTAGATGCTTTCCTGGAGGCAGCAGTTTTGGAGAGTGCTTCTTGTGGAAGACGGTCATAACTACTAACCTTTGCAGAAATAGGAGGAATGAGTATCTTACTGATCAGTGCACTGCTACTCTGCCTGTCTCCTATGGCTGGCAGCACCAGAGGGGAACTTCCCTGCCATGGCAAAGACTCCCGGTATAGAGGATCCTAGCAAACTCTCATAGTCAGCACTTGGGATGGGTGTCCCCTCACTGTACCCTAGTTATGATACTGCTCCAGCCTTAGAAAGGAAACTGCCTGGGAGTGACAGGAAAACGTCCACATACATGACTGGAAGGTGCTAACACTAGGGCGGCTTAGATTTTTATCCTTTGGTAGGTTTATCTGGCTGCAAACTCACTTGCCTCTGAAGTTGCCACACTATAGGTACTTGGACTGTGGGGTTTGAGATGAAATGTGACACCTCACCAATGCATCTTCACGTCTGCTTTGTTTATTTCTTAGAGGATGTGACAGAAATGATCAATGGTATATATTTTTTAAAAGACCCCCGGCCCCACCCACCAAAAACAAAGTTAGTTTGGAATGACTTTGCTAGGTATTGAAGATTTTGGCTGTAACTTACCCCACCATTAGGAATCCCTGGTACAAAGGAACAGATGCAAAATAGAAGACTGAAGAAAATACAGCCTTGAAAAAGAGAAGACAGCACATTTTAAAACTGAGCATTACTAAATTACTTAAGATGCTTCCATGTGCAGTGCACTACAATAAAACAAAAATAAAAATTAGATTCAAGGATTAAATTTAGTTTCACAATAGTATTTTAAATGTAATGACATTAGTGGGTCTTCGACCAATACAGAAACTGAAATACCTGCATAGTTGAAATAATAAGGCCCCTGTGCATGACAAATTGACCAAGTGCTGCTGATCTTTTGTAACTGTTTCGACCGTGTACCATCAGCAGCCTGCCTATATGTTTAAACTGTGTGATAGAAAAGTCAGCTGCCAAGGAAGCTTGCTTTCCCTCCTAAAACAAAACAAACATATCAAAATCAATACAGAAATGTCCAGATTGCAGAATTTTCATAATGCAACAGTTTGTACATGTAATATTCCTTCTTCATTATTCAATTTTAGCAGCACTGTAGTGTTGAATGCAACACATAACATTCTGTATATACTTTAAGAGTCACTAACTACTGAAGTACAGTCACTCATCCTGAATCATTCAGTAAAACACAAATATTGAACTAAAAAAATAACCTACAGAGATTTTGTTTTTCTTACATTTTTAAAGAGAAAAAAAAGTTAAGTTAGAACAGACTGGAGTTAAGAAGGTATGACAGAAAGATTACATTTCTCTTACAGCTTTGTGACATTTCTTTTAAATACTTAAACATTCGTCTGAAAGTTTGAAGAGTATGGATGCACTACAACACTTGTTTAATTAGGTACAGTTTAAAAAAAAACCCTTCTAATACAATATTGTTGCAATTATAAGTGAGAAAACAAACAATATTACCTTGCCTTCAATTCCAATTCCACAGTCTGCTGCTTGAATCATACTGACGTCATTTCCTCCATCACCTGGAAAATGTCACTGCAATATTCAGCTATTCATATTTTTCCCCCCTTTCATTGTTTTTTGTTTGTTTGTTTTTTTAGTACTGTACTTAGCTTCATTAAATTCTTGATATTAATGCTTGGGTTAAAAGTTATATAGTTTCAAAGGTCAAAATATTTTTCATAAGCGTTTTAACTTCCCCCCCTTCTCTTGCAACGGCATCATTTATGGAAAAACAGTAATATTTGTTAGTGAAAGATCTTGAAACACTGATATGTAATCCTTTGGATTTGCTTTTAATTTACTTCTCCCTGTTGCCATCTATTGGCCAAATTTACCGAGTTCTAATTCCTGACAATGAAACTGGACCTGACACTTACCTATTGCACATGTGCGTTTTCCAGTGTGGTGTTGTAAGAGTTTCACAATATGGGCTTTCTGGGTGGGTGAACAGCGACAGCACACTACAGCAGGGCACTGGCATGCCAGCTCTACAAACTCATGTTCATAATATTTCAGACAAACCTATGGAAAAAAGTATCTTACATGACATTCATTCCAAAGTGTGAGTGGCACCCCAGTCTGGGCTCATTTCACTACTGAGAAATTAATATCAGGGAAAATGAAATCCCTTTTTAAAAAAATTTTATACAGAGTATTGCTTTAATGCTATCAATGTGAGAAATAAGGTGTTTTTTTTAACTTGGCTTATTGTAAACTATTGCACTTTTATAGTTATTTCTTTGGTGTTAACAGAAAAGACAAAACAACTTAGTTATATGAATTACTGAATTGTATTGTATATATGTTTAATTATGTTACCATTCAGTGAGCCTTGTTTTTGGTGACAATCCATGAAATGAACAAAATGTTGTTGTCTAGTTGAGGTGTTTCTTAATTATTGCTCAATTAAACCGTACTAGCAACCATGAGGATAATTTAAAGTAGGATTTAAGGAGGATTTTGAAAGCCTTTTTAAATAAATGAAGATAACAATTTCCTTTCTATATACTCTGATACAGTTAAAATACATCTGATAGAAACCCAGATCTCACCTCTAGAGAGTCGCCAGATATCACCAAAGCACAGTCATGCTTTCTTCTAAAGGCATTTAGTTCTAAGTGAGCTTCTCCTCGATTGGTTACCTTCAATACCAATAAACACAAAATGGAAGGATTTAATTGCTGAACAACTGTGAATGGAAATATGACAACTTATTTAGAAAACACAAGCAGAAAACATTCCAAGACTTGTTCTTCAATTTGAATGTACCTACACAGCAGTAGGTTTACAACTTTCCCATTGCAGGCGAGAGAATTTAGATGCAAAAGAAATCTTGAAACATGAAACAAATCTGAGTAGGCAGCTCATTCAGTACCTCACCAAAGAAGTAGTTTATGCAGACAAGACATTCAAGTCTGGTAACTCTCAATAAACCCCCCAAATTCAGAAAAAAATGATTTAATTTGATAATAAGTTGAACATTTGTGGAATAATGTGATGTTCCCCTATTAATAGTTCTGTTGGTTTAGATGAGAAGTAAACAACTCAAGAAGCAAAGAAATATAATTACTAGCGCTATATATTTTTTGATTTGGCATTTATACTTGAGAAAGTTTATATTAGTTCACTATACAAGGACTATTTTGAATCTGAACAACCAGCACAAAGTGCCATAAGAGCATGCAGTATTTTTTGGTCCCATACGTATATCACAGTGTTGAATTAGATTTGTAAAATGCAGAATGAATTCAAAGTTTGGGCACTGAAATTTTCTGGAGCAAATTAAAATATTGAACATTCAACAGATTTCAAATGTACTGGCTTTTATACACAAAGTACTGAATACTGGGTAGGATTGTTTGAATTACCATTCACAAGAGGGTGGATGAGATAAGTGTGGACGTTTGGTTCCCCAGGGACAAGTAGTGGCGGTGCACCTTGTGTCACTGCTACTTGTCCCTGGGGAATGCCTATGCCATGTGTGCTTTGGTGCATGGCAAGTTACCCGGAGTGGGGTAGGGGAGGTGGAGGCTAGCACTGGGCTGGCCCCACCAGCCTTACCTGGAGTCCTGGGGTCCTCTTGGGGCTCCAGCAGTGGCGATTCTGCCATATGGAGGCTGGCCGGCAGCCAGAGCATGGCCCTGTGCAGCCCCGCTTCACTTTTGAGCAGCATGTACTACTCCACTTTTTTTTCCTGTGGGTTTTTTTGACCCCTGGATGTCCAGGGGTCAAAAAAACCTGCAGAAAAAAGCGGATCAGCACATGCATGGGCAGCGCTCCCTGGCAGTGCAGAGAACATCTAAATGTGCAGTATGTGGCACCACACACATTTGCGGTGCCACATACTGCACAGCTGTGTTGGTCTGAATGCGGCCATAACATTTAAAATTTCTGAGTCTCCATCAGTATACAAAATGGTTTGAAGCAACACTGTTTTGGGCTCAAAACCAGAACCAGCCTTCCTGGGACCTCTCTCTCCAATAGTAGAAACCATAGATCTGGATTTGGAAGCAGTAAGAACTCCTCACAGTGGATTAACTGCATATAAAGATCTGTAGATGTGTTTTAATGTACCCCAACAACAACAGTGACAAAAACTCTTCCTAAAACAGCAGATGTGGAATTCTTTTTCCTTCCTTTCAAAGTTAAACATAATCAGTGGAAAAGTTTTTTTTTTATTATTCATGCCACTGGGACTAGGGGAAGGGACAACAACTCTTTCTGGCTGTGTCTACACGAGACGCTGACTGCACAATTGTTACTGTGCAGTCATCTAGTACTTGTATAAACAAGTTCAACCTGAGTTACTGTGCAGTAACATTGCCAAATGACTTTTTTGTGATGCTGACTGCATACTAGCTTGAGACTACTGTGCAGTAGTGTTGCGTCATGCTTTTTGCCCTGCGACGCTACTGCACAGTGGTCTTTGGCTACTGCTCAGTTAGCATCTCAGGTAGACACAGCCAGTATACAGCATTTCAGGGATTGAGAGATGTCTCTACTTGGAACATAAGAGATGCCACCCTAGGTCAGGTGACAGGTCTAACTCAGTATTCTGTATCTCACGGTGGCACAGAGTGTATGCTAACAGGGCATTTATGCAGGGCCTATCCAGTCTGATCTGTTCCCTACCCCTCTTCTCTTACAGCTTCCATTGTTTAGAGGTATAGGAAGTCTGAACCTGGACCTGTAACTATAGGGCATTTCTACATGTGCTTTTAAAAGCGCCCGGCACTGCGGTGCATACTTTTGTATAAATGGCGAAATGTGTCATTGCTGAGAAAATGGTGGCGGAGCACTTTTGAACTAAAACACATTGAAGGTGTTTAAGTTCAAAAGCATACTCCAGCCATTTTCTCAGTGCTGATGTGCATTTTGCTGTTTATACAAATGATTAATCGAGTCTGCTCTGGATCTCTGGCACATTGGAGCAGACAAATATATGTGTATAAATGCCCATAATGTTTAATATCCACTGAAGGACCTATACTGTATGAATTTGTCTAATTCTCTTTTGAATCTGGTTCAATTGTTGCCTCTACAATAGGGGTCAACAACCTGTGGCTCACTGGCAGGATCCAGCCCGCAGAACCACTGGATCAGCCCTGTGGGGCTTTGGCAGTGAGGGACTTTGGCTGTGGGTGCTCTCCCCATGCCACTGCAAGGAGAAGCACGGGCTGGGTCCTAGTGTCCACTCCTAACCCAGCCTACAGACGGAAAAGTTGCATACCCCTGCTCTACAGTATCTTGAGGCAATGAGTTTCACAAGTTAGTTACAGGCTGAGTGAAAAAGAACTTGCTTTTGTTAGCTTTAAACCTGTTTACTAATGATTTCCTTGTGCTTCCCTAGTTCTGCATTGGCTGATGAGCTCAATTTTTTTTTCTCTTGAGGGTTGCCAGTCAACTAATACAGAGAAAGGAAGAGTTTGAACATGCTTATTCCACCACAGAAAAAAATCATCATCTGAGAACCTTGAACAAAAATTAAAAGAATATTAAAAAAACATAAAAGAAACTAACCTTTTTGAGAGCCTGAATGTTAAATATTTTTTTGGTGACAATTTGTATTTAGAGTATTAGTGTTACGCAAAGGTATAGTGTAATGTATCCTATTGTAAGTCCAAAAGTTACTTATCAAAACTGAATTAAAAATGAGCCATGGTCATACCATATTTTTAACGGACACGTGGGAGACTCCTCAAAAAACTGATCATGTCAAACTTAATATTTATATGAATCATTGTTCACTCAATTTTAAGTACTATAACATGGTAAACCACCTTTTCTCCAAACTGATTGAGAAGTGCAGGCATGGACAAGATAGAATTCTGTATAAATGCATTTTCTAACTAATTTAAAACTTCATGTATTCTAAATTAACACAGTTCTATGTTGATCTCTTATTACTAATCTAGGTAATGAAAATAAAAATCAAACTCAAGCTAAATAGATTTTATTCAGGAAGACTTAATTTGTGGTGTTACAACATGGAAAGGTCAACAAAAATTGATCTGAAGTTTTATCAGAAGCATTAATAATTTAATTGCAAATAGTAGTCTGCAGGGCCTAATTTGCCATTCTGATGCTTCAGAAGAAACTACATTTACATGTAAATTATATTCAAATAATTATTTCTGTAGGTGCAAGTGGTTCATTTAGAACAAACACAGACATATTATGTCTGATCACACATCATCAATCAAGGCCTGGGAAATCTTTATTTTTGTTTGAATTCAGCATAGTTGACATTATTCAATTATAACAAAAATGTATATAAATTGATATTGAGTTTACTTATCTATTAATTGTTTTCAAGAGACAAGGAATAAAATATAAATTTTACTTGAAAAACACAGTAGATTAAAAAAATGAGCCTCTTTGCAGAAGGACTTTGGACACTCACTTCCACCAATGTAATTTAGGAATAAGTTTGCAGAAATCAAATGAATTACTTAAGCATAAAGACTGGTGGGTAAGAACAAATGTATCTTCTGTAAAATGCCAGACATACATAATGATTTACAATCTTCAGTCTTCAAATAGTTACCACAAAGTACAATTTCTATGGAACTGTAATCTGATGTGCACAATAACACCACACCATTTTTGTAATTAATCTATTAACATGAATATCAAATTCATTATTAATAATCCATCACTTATAAACCAATATTTTAAAATTTAACCCTTACTTCACCAGGCCAGTTAAAAAAAAATCAATATTTGGAGCTATACTTACGGGTCTGAAAATGTGAACATCTTGAGTTCTAGATACTAAGTGGGAACTTTTTGCAATACAAGTAGCTGTCTCCAGTTTATCTCCTGTTAACATCCATATCTGCAAAACAATGTTGAAATTAATCCAGTTGAACATTAAGGTCACTGATCTCAAAAACTGAATGATACACACGTCTTCCTCAAATCTCCTCCTTGAGAGCTGAATCTGACAAACAGGAGGATTTACTGGCTGCACATTATTAAATTAAGTTAATGAAATGTATAATTTTCTGTACAATAGTGCACACGGGGTCAGATTTTGAGTGGTGTCTTTACAAGGCTCAGCACATTATCTACAACCTAAGAAGCTTTAAGCCATTTTTGTGTTTTCCCAGGCCTAGGCTTGGAGAAGCCTGCTGAAAACAGTAAATGATGGCAGTCTCCTGGGGCTGCTTTGTGGATTACAGTGCTGCCCAGAATTTCTGTAATACAGAATGGTGTAGTCTTGCCTGTAACATAACCCTTGTGGCTTCATTCTCAGTACACCGTTTGCATTGGGGTTTGTATACAAGCTCTTGTGATATAGCCTCCAGATCTGTCTTCCAGAGTTTCTGTGCATAGACACGGTTTCTTCCCTGTTCCAACTCTTCTAGGTGTTGTAAAGAGGTTGGAACTGGAAATGAGAATTTCACCCCAAACTTGCTATACCCTACTCACATATCTAAGATGACACAGATTGTGATCCAGAGTTTACATTTTAACAGGACAAAAACATTTAAGGGGTTGGAGAAAGAGATGCAAAAATATATAAGTAAAATGGACAAGTTCAGGAATGGCATGAATTTTCTTAGTTCCTTTCTGTTTCCAACCACCCTATTCAGGGCCGGCCTGTCCTATCCTGCAAAACCTGTGGCCAGAGGGGGTCCCGCAGCCAAGGGGCCCCCTGTGGCCGTGAACACTTCAAATCAATGCTGTAGCAAGGGGGGGGGGCAGGTGGTTGCCACCACTCTGTGTTGCCGCCACCGCCAGCTTCGCATCTGGCCACTCGCCACCCCTGCTCCCTGCTGCCGGCTTCTTCAGCTGCTTGCCACCCCCGTCCCCTCCCGGCTTCATTGCATCAGGGAGACCCCCAAAACTATATTTTGCAGGGGGGCCCCCAAAATTGTGGGCCGGCCCTGACCCTATTCAATACTGGGTCTCTATGTAGCCGCTGTCTACTGTTTTCATCTCCCTTGTCTGCTGAGGGCAGGGCAGTGGGGAGAGGGGGGGAGATAGAGAGGAAGGAGGTTAAGGTAGCATGTATTGAGGAAGAGAGATTCTGGTGCAGAAAGGAGAGAGAAGGGTGAGGCAACCAATAAGCAGGAGTCAAGAAACCCTTTCCCTATGGTCCAGATGATGTTATATGTCAGACCAGCAGCTGAGAAATGTGTAAGATGGCAGCTCAGCAAAATGGGAGCATGCAATGCAAGGGAGAGCCTCCTCAGATATCAGGGTGACTAGCTGTGAAGTGAATAAGCCCCAGAAAGGATTTGCCAGAGATCAGCAAACTAAATGCTGGTACCACCTGCTGGCAGGTACACAATGCTGGTATTTTTACAATCAAAATGTTATGCTAATTGCCCTTTGGAAATGAGCAAGTGGTACCTTTATTCCAGCATTTCTCAGCATTTCCAGAGTTGGTCTAACATCAGTTTGTAGCTGATCTTCTACTCCAGTGAGACATAGCAATTCCATTTCTCTCTCCAAACTCTCCACAACAGCAGCAACCTTCAGGGCTCTATCATGTATGCTTAACTTTGCTTGGTTATATCGATTCTGCTTGCAGAAACACAAAAAACAAAAATCAGTTAGAGACATCTGGCTACCACTGATAAAGAGAAAATGAATCTTTAGTCTGTTAGGATTTGCTGACAATGAAGATTCATGATGCAGTATCTTATTTAAATATCCTAAAACCACCAAAAAAACCCTACACAATTCTGTAAAGTAAAAGTCGCACTTTAATCATTTAATTTTAAGTCAACAAATCAGTTTCAAGTTTCCTTTTCTAATGTTCACAGTGAACTTTGTGAAGACAAATTAAGAGCAAGCTTGAGGACACTTAAGCAGTTATGGTCCTTGTAGGACCAACTTCTTATACATGACTTTGGAATAGATACTGAGGAATAACGATATTTCAGTTAGATATGACACCATACAACATTTTTGTTCAAAGGCATTTGAGTAAAACTGTTGTAACCAATATTTTAAATAACAATGTGCTATTTAAATAAAATAAAAACAACAACATTCCTTATTGTATTACTTTGCTTTACTTGAATTCATGAGCCATGTTAGGAACATTGATGAGCGTATCTTTTTATACCTCAAAATCTTGGTATTGTTCTTCTGTTAATGACTTTTTGGCAACAACCAGAGTGCGCAATCCTTCTCGTGCCATGTTGCCACACTGCATAGACAAAAATACAGAAGAATCGTGCAGGTATTAATTAAAACACCATATTATATGATACTACATCCACAAAAGTTTTATGGTCAAGAACAACCTATTTGGTTTTCTAGCCCTGTAAGGTTGGTCTGAACACTAGGTAAAATGATGTCTAACTAATAGATAAGAGGAAAAAAAAACCCAATGATATTTGTGATATCATCCTGTAAGAAAATAAACTTGATTATATTGTCCAGTCTGAGGAACTTCTTGAGCAAACCTCACATAAAAACAACTAAAAGCAACTCAATGAAAAAAAGGAATAAATATCAAGGGATTCCAGAAATATAGTTAGGACAAGACCTGAGATTTTTTAGGACTGGGGTGGGGGGGTGGGGGGCACAACACACACAAGCATTTTTGGTAGGCATGCCACAAATTAGCTTTGCATCTTCCCTGAGTGCCAATCCAAACCCCTTCCCCTGCCCAATCTGCTACTTTGTTTTTTGCTTCCTGCCCTGTGCTCCTGCCTGATCTGCTGTTCTGTTTTCTGCTTTAGCTGCCACTGTTCTATCTGTCCCCGTCCCAATCTGCCATGTGCCACACACAGGCTGCCCAGGCCACAAACTGGCCACCCCTGATTTGAATGCAACTGCTGTATTTATGAAACTTTATTGTTGTAAATAAAGATAAAAGAATAATTATTTTTCCCTTTGTACCATGTAAGGCATCTATTCAGAGGCTAACGTTGCGACTCACATGTAGACCAGGGTCAGCAACTTTTTGCTGCCCCAGCCTGGAGCTTGTGACCTGGCAACTTGCCACATAAGCTGCAAATAGACAACCCCAGAAGAGCTCAAGTTGCTTATGCTTCCTTGGCTACAGATACTCTCGCTGCACAGGACCTGGGTAAGTGCAGGCATGGCAGAGCAGCAGGGAGGGCTGCAGAGGAGGCTGCTGTATAGGGGTTGGGTGGCTTGGGTCAGTTGTAGGACGCCTCATTCTCCATGCTGCTCTAGGCTTGTTTGGATCTTATAGCTGTGTCCACACGAGCATGAACATTTGATTCCCTGGGGACAAGCAGCAGCAGCAGCACACCTTGGCTAGGGACAAAAGTTGCACATAAATTGGTTTAAGTAATCAGAAACTGGTTTAAATCTGTAACAGAACATAAGCTGAGTGCACATAAACCAGTTTCAAAATGGCTGAAACTGGTTTAAGATAAACCTGGTTGAATGTAGCATCAGACTTAACTGATTTGGGTCAAACCAGTGTATGAAACTTCTGTCCCAGATCCCTTCCTGGTTCAAGTTCAATCACACTTCCCCAACATCCCAGCACACTTTGCAGCCTGAGGCTGGACTGTGTTGTCTGCTCCAGAGAGCAGGGCTGGCCCCACCCCTCTGCTCCCTACCTGGAGCAGTGAGGGCTGGCTCACAAGGGGGTGGTGGGGCAAGCCCAGCTGGGGATGCAGCACAGTCTTTGTCAGGGACTGCTTGCCCCCAGGCAAACTCTGGCTGGAGTCTGGGACCAGGGAGGGGGGTTAAACACTGCCAATCCTGCCGCTTGGAGCCTGGGTGGCAGCTGGAGTGTGGCTACAGCTGGCCAGGCTCCAGTTCTGAGCGGTGCGTGCTACCCCAATATGCGCTGCTCTGCTTCTTTTTTGCATGGGTTTTTTTGACCCCGGGATCACTGGGGGCACTTGGAGAACAGTTGAGTATGCAGTGCCACAGACCTGTCTGCAGCACCACATACCACACGGCCTCACTCATCTGGACATAGCTTCCCTGACCAAATCCAATCTCTTTGCAGGCTGGATTTGGCCAAGGGGCAATAAGGTTATTGATCCCAGATGTAAACCATCCTGGGGAAAAGTCATGAGATTGGGAGTTAGAACCAGGGTTGATCTATCTAGTACTATAGCAAGCTCTGACTCCATATTAAGATAATGAGATTGGTTTCTTACGTGTACAAAAACATAGCAGTTTTAACCCTGTCTGGCAATTCCTTTTCTCAGAAATGTCCTTTTCTTTACAAAGCTGAGACACATAAGTAATTTGTATAATCGTGGAGTACCAGACACTGAGAAAAGCATCTGATACCATGCCTCAAGAAGTCTTAGTTGAAAAAGTATTTATTTAAAAGTTGAACCAAGTATTGGCTTGGTTAAACTGAAAATTTGAACCAAGTATTGGCTTGGTTAAACTGAAAATTGCCACACTGCATAGACAAAAATACAGAGGCTGTAATCACAATACCACTATAAATGGTAACGTATTGGATGGAAGGAAAGTGCCTAGTGAATTACACATGAATATGTTAGAATGCGTATTGTTTTACATCTTCATTGGTGATTTTATGAAAGGATAAACAACAAACTAATGAAATTCACAGATGATAAACTCAGAGGAGTTGTATAATTCAGAATAACTCAAATAATGCAAAGGTACCCAGAAATAACAGAAAATAAAATGTGATCATTTGTAAAAAATACAGAGTAATTGAAAAGGAGAAAAAAAATCCCATGACACAGATATTTAGTAGAAATACAAAACCTTGGAAGTATAAATTCACCAAGAGACCAACAAGTGACTGTGAACAACAAATTAAATCTAAGATTTTTTTTCCATCTCTAATATCTCAGCCGTCTATTGTGAAGAGGATCTGTAGGATAAAGGATGGGCAGATATAAGCTTTGTAACACTCCTACTGTCTTGTTAGATAAATGTGCTATAGAGGAACAATATTCAGAAACCTGTTTGTTCAAAGTCTTACGGACATGCATCTAAGAGTGAAATTATGATTCAGAAGGCATTCTTATTGATTTATAACTGTCCCTCAAAAAATGTAATTTTGAGCTGAAAATTTTCATTCTTTTTCTTATCCCACTTTTTTTTAGGTGATGGGATAAGAAATAATTCCTCTTCCTCCTCTTTCTTCTATTCATGAGGATATAGGTCAGTTAAAAAACCGAAGTTAAAAATCACTAGCTATATTCAAACAATCAATGGCATGATCCTCAAACAGTAGCACAGTCACCTGCCACTATAGTTGAACATGTTGTTTCTAGATTGCTGCAAAAACATACAACTAGATAGAAGAAAGCAATAAAGCAACATAAAGTAACATAAAACAAGTTGTTTTGGCAAGATGTACTAAAGGAAATGGACTTAAAGGTTATTTTCCAACTCTAATGTTGCCAGTACTTGCTCATCTGGCATAGCTAGAGATGAAATCTGGGGGAAAAAAAGCTGCATTTTGGTTCTCCTACATAACACAGTATGCTATTGTTAGGTCCTGGATTCCTCCTGCCAATCTTTTTAATAAGTAAAATTCCATCTGACTGAAGTTTTAGAATGGATTAAAACTAGTATTGTACATGGCTAAAGTACATGTAATTGAGCTAAGCAATGACTGTTAAGAAAATATGATTTCTTCACAGGAAATATGGTTCTTTTCGATTAAAAGACAACACACTAAAAGTAGACTTAAAAACAGCATAAAACAACTGTCTTAATGAAAAACAAGCCTCATGTTGTATTCCTGGTGCAAAATACTTATTGATTTGACCTCATAATGCTAAATAGATTAAACAAGTATTTCACAATTAATTGTGTATCGTTATCGCCAAAAGTAATTTTTATGACATTTTGCTAGGTCTTGAGGGAGTTTAATTTATTCATGTCCCTGAATAAATCAAACTGCCCTGAAGCAGATATTGATTCATATTGCCAATACCATTATGAACATACATGGTGCGATCATTGTATTACCATATTGTCTGTATGTAGGGTCAGATTAAGATGATTGCTGGTGCCTACTAACCACATCACAATGGAAGTATTAAAGCAGTTTTGAAATTTATTTTGTGCAAAGACATGTATTCACTGAGCTTGGATTACTGAAAAAATCTGATGTCTACAAATCATGTTTAAGAAAAAACACCTCATTATGATTACATCTACGATGATGTTTCAGAATTCCCGAACAACTGTACAATTTAAGAATAAAAATGTTTAAAACTGTTTCCCTGGACAAAAAGGATTGTACTGAAAATATATCTCCGGAGTAATTAGGTGTGTGAGTACAATTGCTTAGCAATGGTCATTTGCCAAAATAAAAATATTTTTAGTTTTAGATCACTATGTTTTTTAGTCAAATTGTTACCTTTGCTTTTCTTTCAGGGTTATAAAAACTGGAAACAACTGCAACTCCTTAAAACCTTTTCATGAGACACGTAATAGCATTTCACAATCCATTACTGTTTTGGCTCAAGATTTCTATCTCTGAACCTATTCCAATAGCATCTGTGTTAAATGAGAAATTACAGTTTCTCCTTCTTCAGTCATAAAATATTTTTGCATGACAAAAATCTATCATTTGGCCTTTTCTCTTGAAACTGAAAACAATCATAATATTTCTTACCTCCTCTTCTAACCAATCATTGTACTGTACGATGGTGGACATTGCAACATCTGCACCTTTCATGTAAAATGTGATTTCCCCTGTAGATTCATCCTGTAATTTAAAAAAAAACAGTAGAAAAAGATTTTGTCTGTATTTCAAATCAAGTGACTGTACCTAGAAAACAATTTGTCATACTTTAAGACAGTAAAATACTTTAAAATAAGCACATATGAAGATCTTAAAACAGTTTAGAAAGCCATCACCCAATTAAATCAATTTGTAAGATATACGCTGCCCAGGTTTTAGATGCACATATGCAAATAAAAATACAAATGAATTGTTCAAATTATCTGTGTCGATTGCAAGTCGCATTTTACACATAGGGGGCACACATCCAGACAAGCGTCCAGACACATCTGCAGCACCACATACCACACAGTCAGGTATTCTCCATGCTGCAAGGGCATGCTGCCCATGCTTTCCCTGCTCTGTTTTTTTTTTTTCTGTGGGTTTTTTTGACCCCTAGATATCCAGGGGTCAAGAAAACCTAGGGGGAAAATGGAGCAGCACACGCACAAGTAGCATGAGCTGCTGAAAAGTGAAGCCGGGCTGCCTGGACTGTTGGCCGGGCTCTGTCCAGCAGGATTGCTCTAGGTGCATCCCTGGGAGGCCCTCAGGACACCAGGTAAGGCTGCTGGGGCCAGCACAGTGCTGGCCCCAGCCTCCCCTACTGCCCCTGGGTAACATGCCACACACCAAAGCACATGTGGCATAGGCGTTTCCCAGGGACAAGTAGTTGCAGGGCAAGTTGCACTTCTGTTACTTGAACCTGGAGAACCAAACATCTGCACTCATCTGGATACTCCAAGGGAAACTGAGGAAGGGAGATGATCTCAAATTTTGAAAAAAGCTCAAATTTCTGGATGATTAGCTTTATACACCCAAGATCAGATTTACTTACATTTCCAGCTGAGGTCAATAGAGAATCTCTAAAAAGTAGTCCTTAATTATCCAAGAATTTAGTTGTGTGCACTTGAAATTACAAACCACTTTTGAAATTTTGGGCATAAATGCCTTGCTCAAGGTTATACAGGGTGTTAGTGTCAGATATAGGAACTAAGTCCAGACTTGATGACTTCTGGGTCCTGTTCTAACCACTTGAAGATTTTGTTTCCTTTGAGGCATGGAGCATAAATACATTTCTGTCTAAAGATCACCATCCTCTTCTTACAGGGGTGTAGGTTGTCTGCCATCCTCTTCTTGGCATTCATTTGAATTAATATATATGTAGGCATTCCAAAAGGTATATATTTTTACTCATGAAGTATATGTTAGGTGCTTTAAATGTAAAAAGGACAGGGGTCCCACCCAGAAGTGTAAAAAGGAAGGACAGGGGTTCTGTATACTTCTTAGAGAGACTGGCTTGTAGTTTTCTCTAAAATAAATATTTTGATGAAGTGACTATTTAATATATAAAATTACGCCATGTCTCCCAATTGCTATTCCCAATTTACAAATGTCTTTATGTCAAATATGTCTTGCAAGTACAAGGCTAATACCGTGCATTCTTGTTCTTAGTATCATGGGATATTTTGTTGTTTTAACAACAGTTGTTCATTATGAGATACTATTTCAAATAATCTGTACCTTAATCACTAACTCACCCCCTGCATATTATGGCATGTTTGAAATTTTATATCACCCCTTAATCCCAAAATTCTAATGCATCTATAATAAATACAATGGGAAAACTAAAAAAGGAGGTTCAGGCCTTGGTCATGCAAGCTGCCCTAAGCATGAAGAAGACGACAATATAATATAACTCCACAGGGACGCAGGGCTCTACAGCATCAGGGTATTAGTAGCTCTTTGAGTATTATTTTTGCCAAATGTATGTTATTCACACAGTTGTTTCATTTTAATGTGGAAAGCTTGCAACACCTGTAAACTAGGCATACATTAGAAGGCTACGCTTTACAGTAAATAACCTGATAGGCTGTAAAAAATACATAGTAAGAGCCCTTAGTAAGAGACAAACAAATTTTTAAGTTTTCAAAAAACTTTACCCTGACTATGATTCCCATGCGCTTGCTTTCTGATGTGAAGGGAAAAATTTGGAGAATATAGTATGTCAAAATCTGTCCACCAGGGGTCTTCAGTTGCATTGAGGTCAGATCCCTGTTAACCAGAGTAAGACCAACACTTTCTGTCCATTGCACCAGAGCTACCTAAAGAAAAACATATTGAGGTGTTAAAGGTCAATTATACCCTTGTGTAAATTTTGTGAAAACCAAACAACTGGGTTTAGGTTAAAGGTCAAGAATCTCTCTAGCATGCTAAAAAACTCCATATACATAGTGATCCAGAATACAGAAATACTTTTATATCAATTATTTTCACATTATGGCATAAGTCTTTTTATACATTTTGTCAAAGGATAATATGGAAAATATATATATATATATATATATATATTTGGATCTATTTCTATATACAGAAAGTTGTTCACTGAATTGAGCTGTATCAGAATTAGGGAATGCTGTTCAGAACTAATAGCTCTAGCACTAAAAAGGCTGCTTTGTCTAAATGCACATACATTTATACATAAAGGATATTCAGTGGAACATGTGCAAAACATAATATAGTTAAAATAGCTTTTTCCCTA